ACATCTGTGTCACCCAGTCCATGACCAAAAGACAAGCACAGTTTCTTCACGTGTCTCTAGGCTCCATGCGCCTCCTCCAGGTCTCCATCCTGCTTCCTTCCTTCCTCAGTCTCTTCTGCAGCTTCTCCTCTTCCTGCTCAGCTCCACCCTCCCTTGGGAGGGGCAGGGAACCTCCCCCTTTCCTGGGGACCACCCTGTTACACTAGTAGCTCCTTGACCTTTGTGGAGAAAAGCTGGGCCCATGAGTCATTATTTCTTTCCGAATCTTTGCTTTTCCCACTGCTTTTAGGACTCATAAAAGGTCAGGGTAGAAATACCCAAAGAATCCATCTAGGGACTATGGTCAAGATAGATTAAGAGAAATCTAAACATTCCTTGACTATATTGGAGGGGAAAGAAGAGCCTGAAGTGAGGTGTTCATTCATCAGTCACTCAACCAACCAACCATCCAAACAACCATCAGTTGAAAATGTCTATGAACATCCCTATTCAGAGAGACTATAGCCATGAAAGTGTTGTAGAGCAACCCTGATACAAAACGGGGTGCCTGACTGTGGGCCCTCACCCGCGCACTTAAAAGGACTTATCAACACTCTACTGCAGGGAGCAGCTTCTCATAACCATGCTGTTTCCAATCCAGAGGCACAGGGACCAGTGGGGCAGGGAACACGAGCAGCTACATTGCCCCTCACCTTCTACCAGGTAACCCCGAACAGTCCACCAGGCAGGGACTTCGCCATTATGTCTTACTGAGAATGGCCAAGACAAAAAATGCTCCAGGATGCTGGAGAGCTCACGGGGAATTGTACAAAATAGCAGCTGGTTCCAAGTGTGGTTCAATAATCTAGAAAGAATAGCTTCCAGGATAAATTCTCTCTGTCTTGTGTGTTGTTACAAACACAATCTTACTTCTCACAGCTGGTGCCTCTTAGTGCTGAGAAGCTGCATTTGGCGCCAAGACTCAAAGAGGGATGCAGGCTGAGGAGCATTCCCATGTAGTGAAGGAAGACTGTGCTTCATCCCATCAGTCTCAGAGGCCCCACCACCCTCCTAACTCTTCAGCCAGGCTTTCACCAAAGACAACATTTAGTAAGTTCTAATTAGCAGATACCACCCTTATCTAAAGCTGTATTTGCCCTAAAATCAAAGTTAGTCTATGGATTTCCAAATGCAGTCACAGTTCTAAGGCAGGGAGCCTTTTAGTTTACTTTTCAAAAGCAGTTTCCTGAGGGCAAGGAATGGGAGATTTTACTTCTCCCCTACAGCTGGCCCATCCCTCATCAATTTAAATGGGTGCAACAATTAGTTTTGCTTAATCTCATTAATCTCATTTCCGCTTAATCTCATTTCAAACACTCCACCCACAGCCATTAATCCTCAGTATTGCCTAAATCAACAGTCAGGTACAAAGGTTTTCCCAAACTGGCAGTTTGGATTGGATACCATCATAGATACAAAGACTTCATGTGGGCTTAATGTAGTTCAAGGGTTATGAAGGAGAGAAAAATCTTGAATGAAGCATCTCAGAAATTGAAAATCATGGTGGAACTGTTACAGGGCAGCCCGGATATAAAACGGGGTGCCTGACTGTGGGTCCTCACCCGCGCGCTTAAAAGGGACTTAATACTCCGCTGCAGACATACACAAAAGGTTAATAAAAGATTTATTCACAAGGGAAGGGGAAATGAGGAAATGTACAACTCAGGGAGAAAATAGGGAAATAAAGTCTTTAATGCGTCCTACCAGATCCGCAGATCTGGAATCCCAAATGGCACTCTGAGAGCTGGCCGCAGGCCAAGAGCCTGAAGCCAGGAGGCGAGCGAGAGAGTGGAAGACCCCAAGGCCCATGTGTTTGGTTTTTATACCAAACCTGGCTGCTTAACCCCACCCTCAGGTCCCAGCCACCTTCCCTTTGGTGGTGATGGGATTTGTCTTTCCCAATGTCCCGAGGGCTTTGGTCTGGAGTGGGGGTGGGTCCACAAAGCCTGCATGGGATTAGCACAGGACATCTGTAGGGTAAAGAAAATGTCAGGCTTTTCTGCCCTTCCGCCATCAGGATAGATGATGGATCCTTGTCCTGAATGCATGCCTGATGGCGGGCACCTGGAATAGGGTGTGGGCATAGGTAGATGGGATTCAGCTGAGCTAAGGCTGTGCTTTTTAAGGGCGGCGTCACGGGGACGCCAGTAGCAGCAGTAGAAGCCGAAGCCGAAAGAGAAGCCGAGAAGCAGCAGAACAAACGCTAGAGAGCCCAGATAGAGGGCTCCCTCCCAGATAGGCCTCCCAGCCCCCCAGCCAGCACCCCTGCCTGCCATATGCCTGGTGAACCCCAAATAAAAAACCTGCAAAACTACTGAGGACTCTGACTCCTCCTTTACCTGGTCTGCATGGGATCAGAGAACCTGCACTGTGCCCAGTTCCTGCCCTTACAACATCCTTTCCCCCTAACAGAACAAAGGTGATATTTAATGCAGTTTGAGCGCCAAGGAGATACCCCTGCATTCTGGTAACTGGTCTTCCAGCTTCCTTTACCTTTTCTTCCTGCATTTTCCTTGATAGAGAAGCCGTGAGTACTATGAAGTTCTTGAGTTTTACAATATCCTCTCAGGTATGGTTCATACTTTGCCTGTCATTCCCTCTGGATATCATAGACTATATGTTTCCACAAAACATGTGGAGAAATTCCACTGGATGCTGCAAGATCATGAGGAAATCAATTTAGAAGAGCAATGAATAATGATGAAACTTCAAGCAAAATTTCCCCAATTCACATAACCTTCTGGTCTCTTGCTACCTTCTGTTAAACAGCTTCAAAGTATAAGGCCCTTAACTCATTTGGTCAAGGAGTGAGAGAACGAGAGTCTTCATTTCTGCCCTAATTCCCTTTTCCTTGCAGTTTCTGCCAATTTCCAGAAGGGCTGGGGAAGGGGTTTCTTTGAGGGGACCAGAGGAAAGGGTAGAGGGGAAGACACCAGAGCTGGTTGCTAGCAACTGGATCTAAAGAGTACAAGGATCTGATCTAAAAAAAGCCAGGAGCTATTTCCAGAATGTGAGGGGAGAGAGAGAGAGGGAGGCCCTCTTGGCTTTGATCAGTTAGGGAAATGCAGGGCTGCTGAGTACAAGAACAGGACAAGGACTAATCCTGCCTGACCGCCCTCACTGTGTTCCCCGCACCCGTCACCCCCCCACCTCCACCCCAAGAATTTATTTTCCTCTCACAGCAGGCCATCACGAATAGTATCATGTCTGAGCAAGTCAGAAAAAAACTGGATTCTGAGGCCTTTCAAAGGACTCTGGGGGCTTTGGTGGTGGGGCGCTGACATGTATGTCAGCATGGTGACATACATGTGAGGAGGTGTGAGCCTACAGCCCTAACTCATATACAGTGTTGTAAACTATTGTCATCTCAATAAAGAAAAAAAAAAATGAGTTATCCATTATTCAAAACAAAACAAAAAACATGTTCAGGCTAAAGGCTGTATCTTCCAAAAGTTAAGTGTGTCAGAAGTTCCAAATCACTCAAAATTATTGGGAGCCTTGCAGAGAGCACAGTTAGCTTTTCAACTTTTCCCACAGAAGACCTTCAAGGCACAATTCCAAATTTCTTTGCCCCATCACTTAGCACCTTGCTGCCTGACCGATATCACATATCAGATTTCCCTGGTTCTAAATGATTATCACTATTTCCATTTCTGCCCTGCCAGCCCCTCCACCCCATGCCTCCAGGAGGTGGTAAGGTATGGAGTTCTGGGTTTTTCTCATAAACATTGATTGAGCCGGTGTGCCGTGCAAGACCTTAGGCTAAGTACAACATTGGCACTTTGTCCAGCAAGACTTGGCTGATGATTTAGGGCTGCAAGCCAAGGTGCAACATCACTGCATGCCTGGATTCCTCATTTGACTTCTTAAAGTCAACCCAAATACAGAACCATGGAAAGTCAACACTGGGGCCATCTTTGAGCACAACTACACACCTCCCATTGATATGATGAGTAAACAAGTGATTACATGAGTGAGTGAGCCAATTTCACAAAGCTGTTGACAGTGCCAGGACAACCCCAGATTTCTTGACCTCTCTATCTGAGTTTGGTTTTCTTTACAAGACATTCAGATTGGCATTAGTAAACTGTGTGCCTCCATCTGATTAGCTGTTCTGGACCCCCAAAATTCTCGCCCATTTTCCTTCACCTAGCTATTGCCTACTTATCCTTCAAAATTCAGCTCAAGAGTCACCTCCTTAGTGAGGGGCAGTGGCGCCATGTCCAGCCGCGAAGGTGGGAAGAAGCCCTTGAAGCAGCCCAAGAAGCAGGCCAAGGAGATGGATGAGGAAGATAAGGCATTCAAGCAGAAGCAGAAAGAGGAGCAGAAGAAACTCGAAGAGGGCCTCGCCAGGTGGCGCAGCGGTTGGGCACCGGGCTGTGAAGCTGCCCACAGCCTCTGTAGCGCCAGTTCGATCCCCGGCCGCAGGGCGAGGGTCCCACATGGCACACAGACCTCTCCTGCCGCCCGCTGCTCCCCTCAGCAGTGTACTTCGTCAGTCTGCTTGCTCTGCTCCCCGTTCTGGCTCTGGTGATTTCTCTCACTCTCCCGCGCTTCTGACTGTACACAGTGCTTGTATAAATAAATAAATAAATCTTAAAAAAAAAAAAAGAGTGTGGATTCCATTGATATAACTCAAATTTAAAAAAGAAAAAAAAGAAACTTGAGGAGCTAAAAGTGGAGGCTGCGGGGAAAGGCCCCCTGGCCACAGGTGGAATTAAGAAATCTGGCAAAAAGTAAGATGTTCCTAGTGCCTGAGGCAATAGTGGTCCTTAATTCCATTCGTATTTAAACGTGGATTCTCTGCCATAGTATCTTTTGATGCCAATAGCTAGAATGAAGTGTCTTGGAGCCTGTTGTACATTTAAGAATAAACTTTTGTAAAAAAAAAATAATAATAAAATAAAAAGTCATATGCTCGCTCATCTTTAGTTCTTCTCACTTAGCCATTTCTACCTTACCTGTGAGGTCAGAGAAAACCCAGTGTAGAATCCTGCCAAAGTGTGCTCATCTTCATCTTTGTTCTATCTTGAATTCTGTACTACCTGGAATTAAACCAACTCATTTGAAATGACAAAAAAAAAAAAAAAAAAAAAAGAGTCACCTCCTTAAGTTTTCTATAGTGCCTAGCAAAAGATAGGGGACCTGCTAGGTGGCCCCCTATACTCTTGACGTTCACAGTACTCACAGCAATGCACTGGAAACCGCCCCCTCCCACCAATCTGTAAACTTTTCAAGGTCAAAGATTATAATTCCATTGACTTTTATTAAAACAAAACCCAATATAATGTGTGATATATGCTGGTGCTCCTTCCTATTTGGTGAATGACAATACAAACAACATGATCCTCAGTGCAATGCATACCCCCACATTTGCAGAAATGATAGACTATACTTTGTGGACCCTGTGGAATCTTACAGCCTACACAGACAGCAGTAACAACATGTTATTTAAAAAATAAACTAAAGTACACAAGTGTATCACCAAGGTCCTAGTGTTTTAAAACCTCATTTTCCAAGCAAAGAAGGGGAAATCCATCAAAAGGCTAAAATCATCTACCAGTCTAGCAGAGAGAACTGGATTTCAAGGGCCTTATTAGGAACTCATGTTCCTGTCACTAAATTTGCTGCCCCACTGCCTGACCCTTAGACAAGAAAGACTTTATCAGTACAGCCTTTCATCCTCTGTCCCTTAGAAAGGGACAGAGAAAAGTGTGGGTTTCCATAGTCCTGTACCCAATGTCCTATTATCTTGGTTGGTCAAGGTTAAAGTACAAACAACAGTTAAGACATCTTAGGTACTTATCACTGGAACCATCTGTTTTAGAGGCAGCAGTAGGCCCAAAGACTTCTAGGACTTGAGACTTGTGAGTCATGCTGTACCCATTAGAGCTCTGTCAGGTGATGAATGGGAAAAAGGGACGACTTCCTGGCTTAGATTGGGGAAATTACTGGCCTCTTGCTGCCCTCTACTTCTTCATTAGTAGCAGAGGTTAACTTGGTTAAGTGACTGGAAAAGAAATGTCTAGATTAAAACTTAAGTGTCATAAAAAATAGATTATTTATGTTGTTATGTATCAACCTATATCTATATCATAGTTAATATTAATGGTAATTATTATTTATTACTAGTATCTATTTCTAGATATTACTCCATCTACTGGTGGAGTATAGGCTTGGAAAGAAGGGTGGTGAGAAGCTCTGAGATGGGTGTACATCTTCTACTTGTGCTTGTCAGTTCTCCATCCTGGGGACCAGGAAATATCACAGTCTGGCCACCAGCTACTATGGCATCCCTGAGCTTCCGTGGATAGCCCACTCTCTAGTTCTAGAGATAGACTCATTCGAATGACAGAGCTGGGAGGAAGAAGCCTTAGAGACCAGAGGGTGAGGAAGAAGAGAAACTTATTGAGTGTCAGCCAGAGTCTGAAATGGACACAGTGAGAATCTCCTCTAACCTTCCTAAACCACAAATCTTGATGGAAAGAGCATGTCTGTATGTACAAAGGGCGGGTACTTTCTTAGAGAATCTGGATGACTATTCTAAACTGCTCAGAGGTTTAGAATTTGTATTTATAGTGTATCAGGTTCCAAAATAAAATGTCCTATTTCATTAACCAACAAAATGTGATAAAAATCTAACTCAAGTTAATAACTCTGAACTATATGTGGAAACTGGGGAGTAAGTAGAAAAAATTCTAGGCATTATGTTCAAGCACAAGAAGGTTTGTTAAACTTTTACTCAGAGTCTAAGTCAGACTACATGATTCATTATGTGACTTTCTAGCCCCAAACAATAGCAGCAGGGAATTAACAAAGAGAGTGTTAGTATTATTAGAGTTAGGCATGCTGCCATAGGTAAAAAGAGAGCAATGACAAAACTTCTCCCAAAAAATCAACCCAATAACTAGAGGACAGCACTGTGTGGTTATCCAATGGGTGAACTCAAGTTACTTGGGTTCTAAAGTATATATAACTTAAGGGATTTTCTTTCTTGAAGAAGATTACAAATCTATAGTACATATGATATACAATTAGATATGAAAGGGAATATTTATTTTTAACGGGAAAGACAACACACACCCAAGTGATAAGAGTTCTAGAGGGTTAGATCCAACTTTCTTCTGAAATTTCTTAGCAATTCGTCAGAACTGTTTACATGAAAATATTTCCTTATTGTAAACTTGCTTCCCTTCCCACCTAGAACATACTAAGACACCCAGCTAGAGGCAGCATTTACAGGCCTGTGATAATGAGGGGTCTCACTGCTTAACACTCTGCTAGCTTCTCAGTAAAACTGCCTCTACCAAAGGAAACATGAGTTGTCTTGTGTCTCAAATGGAGACCCCTGAGTCCCACAGAAGAGGTGAAATGATATGCAGTTTACCTTACTGAGAAAGTCAGGGCAATATATATTTTAACACTTTCCTTTAAAAGTACAGGAAACTTTTCTCTTTAAAATTTGCTTTTAGGGCTCCCTGGTGGCACAAGGGGTTAAGCACTGCACTATGAAGCAATTTGCAGCCTCTGCAGCACAAGTTTGATCCCTGGCTGGCCAGGGAGCAACCCACATGGTGTGGCAGACCTCTCCTGTCTCGCCCGCTGCTCCCCTCAGCAGTGTATTTCAGTCAGTCTGCCTGTTCTGTTCCCCACTCTGTCTCTGGTGAATCCTCTCACCCCCCCACACACCTCTGGCCTATACCCCAGCTCTTGTATGCATAAATAAATAAATCTTTAAAAAATAATTAGCTTTTAAAGGCAATTAAAAGGGATTAAAAATTATCATATAAAAAACTGACAGTTTGTACAGTCCTGAGAATTTTAGCATATGGATAGTCATGTAACCACCCCTACCACAACAAGGATATAAGACAGATCTATCAACCCCAAATCTCCCTCATGCAAAAGTGTATATATTTAAAACAATATTGAAACAATATTGAAATAAATAACTTCCTTAGTTGTCACATTCACTACTATGAAATAATTCATTTTCCTCAAATGATAGTCCAAAGAAGCTCACTCTTTCCTGGCCTGCACACCCCTACGTCCAGTCTCCTGGAGATGGTGAAGCGTAGGATGACTTAGGAGGAATCATTTGAATCAGAAAGGACTGAAACTTTAAATGAAGAAGACTGTTTTAAAGTCCAAACTGGTCATTTTACAAATGAAAAAACTAAAAGACAATATTATTAACTGTGTCAACCCAGCATAGTCAATTGAAATTATGGGGAAATATGTCATGATTGAGATTCTTCACCACACCAGCTGTACATAGCATTCTTGCCCCATTCCCAGTTACCAATAAAACAAAAAAAAAATCACAGCTTCAAAAGAAGCCCCCAAAGGGGACTCTGTAAAAGGCATAGCTATAAAAGTAAACAGTAACAAGACCTGCTGACTGAGGAAAACAGCATTTGGAACATAATATGTGGCCATATGACATGCATTGTCCATTAGTAGCAAAAAACAAGACAAAACAAAAAAACCCCAAATAAGCTGTGAGTGATTCGTGAAGAAAAATAAACAAACTATGACCAGGTCTAAGGTCTCAGAATTTATCACCAGACTCTTGCTTATTGTAAAAAAAGGATCCTCACGGCCTATTTTTTTTTGAACGGGAAATGCAAAGACATTTCCCATGTGACTCTGGTGAAAGGCAGAAAGGCACAGTAAATAACAGTCCTGACAGAACAATGACAGAGTAACAAGTCCATTCCAGCCCAATCCTCTAACCAAGGACTGAATACAACACACCTGTGAATTGTTTCTGGCTCAACAGCATTTTCTTCACAAAGAAGCTGTTAGCACCAAGCAAGCTTCCGCTCACTGATCCCTGAAGCTTTCCCAGGCATAAGAATAGGAGACCATGGGCCAGCTCCTGCCCTTCTAAGAACCATTTTAAAAAGATAACTTGGGTTCTTTCCTCCCCTCTTCTACCACCACAGATCTTAAGGAAACAAAATCCCCACGGGAAAGCAAACTTTAAAAACCCGTAATAGCAGCATGAGATGAGGAGGCAAAGGGGTACAGCACAAACTGTAATGGAGAAGTGCTGAGTGTTTCTCCGCTGCCTCCCACCAGCCATGGCCAGGCAGGGCGCCCAGGCCTGAAGAGAAATAGCAGCACATGCTGCCATGGTGTTTGGTGGAGGGTTACCATGGGAACCTGCCTCTTGGCTCAAATGCTGAGCATCCTTCTGCAGTCACATCCTTATGTTTTCCAGGCCTGAAGTGGAAGTATGGAAATATAATAAAGGAGGTAGAATCGGGGTGGGGTGGGGAGCTGTCAGTCATGATGAAGCAAATAGACTGTTGGAGATCTGGAAAGTCTTTTCCCACTGCATTGAAGGTGTCAAGACAGAAACAGAAAATGTGTGGTCATTAGATAGAAATTTTACTCTATGTCCTGCGACAAATTTATTTATTCATTCATTCACTTGTTCATTCTTACATAAGGCTAATTTTATGGGCACCCAACCATACGCAAAGGCACTACATGGGCACTGGAAATGTAAGGAGAAATAAGATACAGTCCTCACTCTGAGGGAGCTCACAGTCCACACAGAACACACACATAGATATAAACACACAGTGTTTGTGTTATTGGTGCAAAAACACATGTGTACATACAGAATTGACAAACTGAAGGCAATTATTTCTTAGAACTGGTGTGAGGAGCTAGTCTTATGAGCTGTGATAAAAGTATGGGCTCCTGAAGAAGCTTGTTCAATGGACTAAAGGGAGAATATTGTCCAGCAGGGCACAACGCAAGCATGTGCTATGCATGCCACATGTGACGTACTCAGAAACTACCGAGAATGAAAGCACTTTCAGATGCCCAGCTACTGTTCCATGTGCCTCATTCAATCCCCACAGTGACTCTACAGAGTAGGTAATGCAATGACATTTACAGATAAAAAAACAGGCTGCAGGAGGTAAAAGAGCTTACCCAAGGTCACTGGTATTGGCATTGGGTGGCAGAGCCAGGCTTTTGTTCCAAAGTCCCTGCTCTTAACCTCAACATCATGCTCAGAAAGGCTGGGTTAAAGGATACTTAGGGAGAGAGGAGAAGCAAGAGCCAAGGCTGCTGGGAGGAAGCAAGCTTCAGGAGTTGGATTAGAATACTTTAAACACCATTTAAAAAAGTTTGGTCATGAGACACCATTATGGGTTTTTATGCTAGGACGGGTCATAATGAGAACTGCTTATGATGGCGCTTCTGAGATCATATGTAGTAAGGTAGAATGGAGGAGAAACAGACTGAAGGTTTCAACGGTAGGGAGGAGATCACGTGTAGTTTAAAGTAAGCCAAGACCCCTGTCATTGGTTCACTGCAACGTCTGGTATACAAGAAGCTTCCAGAAGGGTTGGTTAAGTATATATTTCAAAGTTGTCTTAGCTTGCAGGCAGGGAAATAAGGGTCCCAATGAAGTAGTTTATTTCGGAGGTACCAGCAGAAGAATGAGAAGTGGTACAGAAGAGAGGGCAGCTGATAAGAGAGCCTTTTCAGAGACAGCCACAATGGTGGACAGATGGAGTTTAATCATGTGCGCCACATGGTATAAGGCACACACATCAGCACCATTATGTACGAAGAGTGGGGGAGTTGCGGTATTTAAACAAGCTCTGTCAGAAGTTTGAATGTTAATTCTATGGCACCAGAATGGTAATAGTGTGTGTAGCTTGGGGAAGGGGAGTCAGACACAGAGGTACAGCTGGACTCATGGGCACTGACCATCAGGCACATGTGGGCTGGGTGGAGAGATCGCCTATCAAGCCAATTTTGGGCCAAAGTTGAAAGAAGGTAAACTATGAGATGTCATTTCTCCAAGAGAACATTCCCAGTGAGTTTCTCTGTATTTTTCACTAGGACATAAATAAGTTTTTCCTTCCTCCACCAGAAATTATGTTCTCAGTGGTGGTGGGAAACTGATGTTTTGTTCAATTTCATTTCTTGGGTGAGTTCCAGAAAACTTCACTGCACAGTATGGGTAGCTTCTGCATGTCAATCAAAGTTGAAAGCTTGAAATTCTATCAAGCAGCATTAATACTAAAGCTTGAGCAGAAGAAGGAGGAAGGGAAAGAGGAGGAGAAAAGGAGAAAAAGGCTTCTGCTAGAATTAGCACAACCGCTCTCATATCTGAATCTTTACACAAAATTTAGAATATTGCCTAAAGTTTTCTAAGCCAAGGGAACCAGAAACTAACGTGACATGTTTTTCTGGCTAATGGTGAAGCATTCATCTCAAAGGAATATTTCTCCCCCTCCCCACCTGCCCAGCCACCCTCTTTCCTCACCGTGGCTTTCCCTCTCACCTTCCCGCCCCACAGATTTCTTGTCCACCCAAGTTGTTCTGTTTTCCATCAGAACTGCATTCCCTGAAAGCAGATCCCCACCTATTGTCCAGTTTGAATGGTAAAAACTTCCCAAGCCTATAACACAACTGTGTCTGCTCCAAGAGGACCAAAGGAAGCAAATTCACAGAGTCTGTTCTACTGTGAAAAGACCAGAGGTTCTTGTTTCAAAGCATGGTCCTGGCACTACCTCAAAAGACTAACGCCATGGCTATGTGGTTAGAGTATAACACCGCCTCTAAACGATTTATTGAATTCCTCCGAAGACATGAAACAGTCAATGCACTTTTCAAACCTTAAGACAATCTCACAAATATAACTCTCACCCAACTTGTTGACCGATGGCAGTAAGTAGGTGGCAATCTTGTTGAGTGAAGTTAGGCAGGAGGTTTAGAGACATACCGCAGGGAGAACTGTCTTCTTGGCACTGCTCTCTTAGTCATTGCATGGCTCCGTTGGCAAATTAAAATTCCCTCTAATGACCTTATAAGTAATCAACGGTTATAGCCAACATCTAAACAAACACAAGTAGATTTATTTGACAAGTTAATACTAAATTTAAACCTGTCACAACAGAGATCATTTCAAAGTCATGTGAAGACCACAGTGCAAGTATAAATTCAACCACCTTCAAGATACTCAAGCCACTTTCCAGACGTTGCCTCATTTGCTCTTTCACCCTCAGGACAGAGGATAGTTCTGGCAAGTTATGAATACTTCCTGTCCCTGGATGAATTGGAAAAGGTATGGCTGAGGGTGAAAAATTCTAGCTTTTGAAAAGCACAGCAGGACAATTCAAGGCACCAAGGACGAATCACCAAACTAAGGGGAACGCAGAACAAAGGAGACACAGGTGTCTTTTGAGAGCAGACGGTGAGAGACAGCCTTTACAGAGCTGAGTATCAAACGAAGCTCATTAGGCCTTGGCAAGGCTCATTAAAGAGAGCGTCAGACAGGGCGCTGACTCATGGGAGCGGCTCAAGTGTGGTCCAGAGTGGCATGTCCTCCCTGAGGCTGCAACCGCCAGCGAGATGGTGATGGAAGGTGGGTGAGCCATCCATCAATGTCTTCAAAGGCCTCTGGAGTGAAGCCACAATGTTCCAGCCAAGTGTGCGGCGTGCTGACCTGCTCCACAGCCAGAACCCGGTGTAGGCCTGGAAGATAACCTGTGACTGATCAAGTCAACTAGTGTAAACTGGTGGGTGCACACCATCCTCTCCTTCCATGAGTAAGGCCTCTACCATTAGTGGTTATTTATAGTTTAATTCTACCAATTAACAAAAAGATAAAAGAAGTAGAGGAGATGACATAGAAGAATGGTTAAGTGGTTAAAATCAGACTGTCTGAATCTAAATCCAGTCTCTGTCACTTATAACTCTTATAATCCTGGGAAGAAGGTGAACATTCTTTATTTTTAATTTGTTTTATTTTTCACATCATTGTTCATTTTCAGACAATATTTGCTTCCCCCCCCCCCACCTCAGGTGTAGTCCCCATAGAGTATCCTTCACCAGTGCATCCGGGCACCATCACCTCAGTTCCCTGTGCTCCTCCCTCTGATCCCTCTCCCTCCTCCTCCCCTGCAGGATGTCTCTGATTTATAATTGTCCATTTTTGCTTTGTTGTGCATTGTACTGTTATTTTTTTTACAATGATGTCTTATTTGGTTCCCCTATATTCCTGCTATAAGTGCCCTTTTTCCTTCTGACTTGTTTGACTGAACATAATTTTTTCCAGCTCCATCCATGTTGCTGTGAATGGCATGAGTTTATCTTTTTTGATTGCTGAATAGTAATTGTGTATATATAGCATAGCTTCTTGATCCAGTCATCTAATTTTGGGCATTTGGGTTATTTCCAAGCCTTACCTATTATAAACAGTGCTGCAATAAACATAGAGGTGCAGGTATCCTTTGAATTAATGTTTTTGTCCTTTGGGTAGATCCTTAGGAGTGGAACTGCTGGGTCAAATGGTAGCTCCATTTTTAGTATTCTGAAGAACCTCCATACAGCTTTCCATAGTGGTTGGAGCAGTTTGCATTCCCACCTGCAGTTTAGGAGAGTTCCTTTTTCACCACATCCTCGCCAACATTTGTTGTTGCTAGTTTTTTTTTAATATGTGCCATTCTTACTAGTGTAAGGTAGTAACTCATTGTAGTTTTGATTTGCATTTCCCTGATGATAAGGGATGCTGAACATTTTTTCATATGCCTGTTGGCCATTTGCATTTCCTCTTTGGAGAAGTGTCTTTTAGGTCCTTCTGTCCATTTTTTGACTGGATTGTTTACTTTGCTTTTGTTGAGTCCTGTGAGTTCTTTGTATATCTTTGTGATAAGTCCCTTATCAGTTGTATGGAGTATAATATTTTTCTCCCAATCAGTAGGGCGTCTCTTTCTTTTGGTTAATGTCTCTTTAGCTGTACAGAAGCTTTTTAGTTTGATGTAATCCCAGCTGTTTATCTTTTCCTTCACTTTCTTTGCTTTGGGGGAAACATCTTTACAAATGTTACTGAGATACATTTCTTATAGTGTTTAGCCTATATTTTGTTCTTTTATTATTTAGTACAAAACTGATAAACAGTTCATTCTCAGTAAAATTTTGTAGAATGCAGGAATAACTGCTGCTTGAGATAATAACCTCAGTCAGATGCAATCTTAACCTGAAGCCATTGTGAGAATTAATATCAGGAATCTACTGACATACTTGTCCCTTACCGTCATTTAAATATTTACCTTTATTTTTTTTTTTTTGCTTTTAAAAGACATCATAGTGACTGATTTCCTTTATTTAACCAAAATGAGCACTAAATCAAAACATTAAAAAATATTCTTGAATAAGAATGTCTCTAACAATTTAAGTGGTAAAAATTATTTTTAAAACAATCATTTAAAGTCTCTGGAAATTGTCCTCAGAGCATATGGGAAATGGAAAAACACTCAAGAAAACCTATGACATCTGGGTAAGAACAGGAAGAGCCTGTGGCATTTTTCAGCCCCTGACCCAAGCTTCCCCCCCACTCCTTCCAGAAACTCCACCCTGGAGCGCTCTGCTGGCTGGGCAGGCCCTTCCCCAGCTTGAAGTCTGGGACTATGATCTCACCCCAGGAGGAGTGAACTGCCAGCATTTCCCAAATAGACAAAAACTGAGAGAAATACTTCCTAGCAGATACGCCTTACAACAAATGCTAAAGTAAGTTCTTGAGACTGAATATACTCAGGGTAAAATAGAGGGCCTGTGAGGCTAAGAATGTAGGCAATCACAAAAGACAAATATTACATTTGTCTTTTCCTTTTTTAAAAAAACTAATTTAAAAAGCAACTACCTAAAACAATATGCATATAACTGTATTGCTGGATTTGCAATACATAGAAACATAGTATATCTGACAGTAACAGCTCTCAAAGGAGTCAAGTGACACCAGCAAAGCAGTGACACCAGAGAGTAACTCAAATCCACAAAAAGGGATGAAGAGAACCAGAAATGGTAAGTAAGAGCGTTACTATAACAAGCTCTACAAATATATACTTACTCTTGATCTCCTTTATAATTGCTTTCCTTTCTTCTCTCAGCTGCTTAAAAAAGTATAAGGTTATATAAAACACTAATTGCAATAATTGGGGGGTATGTAACATATATAAATGTAGTATATATAACAACAGTATCACAAAAAGGGAAGTGGAAAAGGAGATCTATAAGGATAATGTTTCTATATTTTACTGGAACTAATCATTAGAAATCTAAAGTAGATTTTGACAAGTTAAGAAATACATGTAAGGGGTCTCCCTGGTGGCACAAGGGATTAAGCACAGCACTATGAAGCAATCTGCAGCTACTGCAGGACGAGTTCAATCCCCAGCTAGGGAGCTGACCCACATGGTGCAGCAGACCTCCTCAGTGTTACCTGCTGCTCTCCTCAGCGGTCTGTTTCAGTCAATCTGTCTGTTCTGCTCCCCACTCTGTCTCTGGTAAATCCTCTCACCCACCCCACTCCCCACACCTCAGGCCTACACCCCAGCTCTTGTATGCATAAATAAATAAATCTTTTTTAAAAAAAAGCTAAAAAAAAAAGGAATATATGTAAGCCTTAGAAGGATTACTAAGAAAATAACTCAAAAATATAATTTAAAAACCATTAAAGGAATTAAATTTTTATGCTAGAAATATCTTTTAACACAAAAGCAAATAAAAGAGGTATAAAGGAACAAAAAATACATGAGACATGGGTGGGGGAGGCAATGTGGCAGATATAAATCTAAATCCAAATACATTTACTGCAAATGACCATTAAAGAACGAGAAAGGCTATATAAGCACATACAATAAGACCAAAAACTACTAGAAATAAAGAGAGACATTTCATAATAATAAAAAGACTAATACATCAAGAAAATATATATTGTGGCCTCCCGGGCGCAGCGGTTGAGCGCTGGGTTGTGAAGCTGCCCGTAGCCTCTGCGGCGCCGGTTCGATCCCCGGCTGCTCCCAGCCACCGGGGGAGGGTCCCACATGGCGCGCAGACCTCTCTGCCGCCCGCTGCTCCCCTCAGCAGTGTACTTCGGCCCTTCTGCCTGCTCTGCTCCCCACTCTGGCTCTGGTGAATTCTCTCACCCTCCCGCACTTCTGACTGTGCCCAGTGCTTGTATAAATAAATAAATAAATCTTTAAAAAAAAAAAAAAAGAAAATATATATTGTAAAAAAAAGATATATTATAAAAATATATGCACCATTTTAATTTCCCATTGTTGCTATACCAGATTACCAAAAACTTAGTGGCCACAAAAATATACCATCTTACGGCTCTAGAAATCAGAAGTCCGAAATGAGCATTTGAGGACTAAAATCAAGGTGTCAGCAGCACTGTTCTTTTTGGAGACTCCAGGGGTGAATTCACGGCCTTGCCTTTTTGAGCTCCCAGGGGTCACTTGCATTCCCTTCCTCTATTTTCAGTGCACATGTTCCAACCCCTGCTCTGCCTGCACACTTCCTTCCCATTTCCTTTCCTCCACATTCCTTTCCTTATCAAGATGTTTAACTTAAATGTTTCTGCAAGTCCCTTTGCCATGTAAGGCAACATATTCACAGGTTGCAGGGATGAGAATGTGAATACCTTTAGGGGACATTATTCTACACAACGTATAGAACTATGAAGATCAAAAACAGATGTATTGAAAATTGAAAGAACTGGAGAGAACTAGACAATTTAACAGTAATAGAGACTTCAATACTCTACTTTCAGTAATGAATAGAAAAACGAGGCACAAGATGAACAAGGAAACAGAAAACTTAATATTATAAGCAAATTGGACCTAAATTATCTACAGAACACTCCATCCAGCAAATGCAGGATACATGTTCTTCTGAACAAGCATATGGAAGCTTTTCCAGGACAGGCCACATGTTAGGCCATAAAATTAATCTCAGAGAAGCTAAAAGAATTGAAACCATATAAAGTATACTCTCTTATCGCGATGGAGTCGTATTAGAAATCAGTAATGGGAAATTCACAAATATATGGAAATTATAGAACATACTCCTAAGTAACCAATGATTCAAAAAAATAATCACAGGGAAACTGGGAAAAACTTTAAGATGAATGAAAGCAAACCAAAACATAACAAAAGTTATGGAATACAGTGCTTAAAAGGAATTTTATAGCTGTAAATTTCTGTATTTCAAAAAAGAAAGATCTCAAATTGATAACCTACACTTCTGCCCTAAGAACCTAGAAAAAGAAGATCAAACTAAACACAAAGCAGCAGAAGAAAGGAAATGATAAATAGGAGAATAAGTAAAATAACAAATAGAAAAACAAGAGAAAATGAACAAAACAGGAAGTTAGTTCTTAGAAAACATCAACAAAATTTACAAACCTTTAGCTAGACTGCCCAAGAAAAAAGGAGAAAAAACTCACTTTTAATTATAAAGATCGGAATCAAAAGGGGGACCAACCACAGACCTTACAGAAATCAAAAGGATTATAAGGGAATTTTTATGTATACAAGAACCAGAGTACAGGCCAGAGGTGTGGGGGTGGGGGGGTGGTGAGAGGATTCACCAGAGACAGAATCAGGAATAAACAGGCAGATCGACTGAAATACACTGCTGAGGGGAGCAGCGGGCAAGTCAGGAGAGGTCTGCTGGGCATATGGGTTGCTCCCTAGCCAGCTGGGGATTGAACTCATGCTGCAGAGGCTGCGGATTGCTTCATAGTATGGTGCTCAACCCCTTGCGCCACCAGGGAAGTCAAAAGAATCTTTTTTTTTAAGATTTATTTTTATTTATTTATGCATACAAGAACTGGGGTGTAGGTCAGAGGTGCAGTGAGCAGGGGGAGTTCACCAGAGACAGATGGGGGAGCAGAACAGGCAGATCTTCTGAAATACACTGCTGAGGGGGCGCAGTGGACCAGACAGGAGATGTCTGCTGCACCATGTGGGTCACCTCCCTGGGCGGGGATCGAACTCTGTGCTGCAATGGTTGCCAAGAATTTCATAGTGCTGAGATTTAACCCCTTGTACCACCAGGGAGGCCCTATAAGGAAATCTTATGGCAACCATAGTTTAGATGAAATGGACCAATTCCTAGAAAAAGAAGAATTACCGAAACTAACTTAAAAAATACAAAACTGGGGCCTTCCCTGGTGGCGCAGGCGGTTGAGCACAGCTCTGTGAAGCTTTCCGCAGTCTCTGCAGCGCTGGTTTGATCCTGGCCAGCGGGTAAGGGTCCCACATGGCATGGCAGACCTATCCTGTCTCCCTCACTGCTCCGCTCAGCAGTGTATTTCGTCAGTCTGCCGGTTAAGTTCCCTGCTCTGTCTCTGGTGAATCCTCTCACCCTCCCGCGCATCTGGCCTGTACCCTGGTTCTTGTATAAATGAGTAACTAAATCTTTAAATAATAAAATTTTAAAAAAATAGAAAACTGGAACAGACATCTAACAGTTAAAAAACTTAATTTAGTAGCTCAAAAACTCCCTACCAAGGAAAGACCAGCCCCAAATGACCTCACTAGTTAATCCAACCAAACATTCAAAGAATTAACATGAATCCTGCCACATCCTGCTTCTCTATTTCCCTTCTGAGAAAACCACCTTAATCAATCTCTTTCAGGAGTGTCTGCACTTCTAGCTCTGCTTCTAGGAGACTTGACCTAGGAAACCGCTATAACAAGAAATTCATCATGATTCACTGCAGAATTACCTCACCGTGCTGGGTAAGCGGTGATCATTTTTCACCACAATTTCTTTGAAATCCCTCATGAGTGAATAGGCAATGAGTACATGTAGAAATGCCTGCTACCACCATTCATGATAATGCAAACAAATAATACTTTGAGACCTAGATAAGAGATGTGAATTTTAAATTTTCATGTTTTCAGGATACATTTTATTTGCTTTGTGTGTGTCTTTGGTAAACTCCATGAAGGCAGAAACACTGTTACACTTTTCCACCATCTTAAGTACCTTCACACAAATATAGTTTGACTGTGGGAATTGTGAGTACTCCAACTAGAGGGCTGATGTGTGGACAGAAGAGGATGAAGAACTCTTCTAATGACTGTGGATTCACCTTTTTTCTGCCCTCAGCTGGTAATGCCCACTCTGGTCACTGTGGGTCAATGTGTCCTGTGATGTCTCTTTATCCCTGTTAGGCACCTGTCTGGGGAATAATAAAAGTCTGAATTGATGAAGTGAGACATAAAATTGAGGTCAGAAGACAGTTAGATAAGCCAGAGATCATACACTAGGCAAGGAGGTTAATGACCTTTCACAAGAAATTGATCTTTTACCATTTGAATGATTAATCAAACATCGGGGGAGATTTTGTCAGTTGATGATATCTATGTGGCTGAAAGAGAAATTTCATGGTCCCAAACTGAGTATACGATTCTATATGTACCATTTCTTTAAATTCTTTAAATCTTTATTGAAGGCTCTCATACATGACTAGCAGGAACAAGAACTGGTAGAATCTTATGGAGAATAATTTGGAAAATTCTATCAAAGTTACACAGTTTGATAAGCATAATGACCCCCAAAATTCCAATTCTAAGAATGCACACTACGGGTGACATCATATGCACAAGGATATTTTATGCAAAATTAATTGTAATAAGAAACATAGGCTATTCATAATCATCAAAACTGCATGGTATTGGAACAAGAAGAGACATACAAACCAATGGAATCAAATGGAAAATCCAGAAATAAACCCACAGATTTATGGTCAACTAATCTTTGACAAAGGAGCAAAGACTATGCATTGGAGCAAAGAAAGTTTGTTCAATAAATGGTGCTGGGAAAACTGGGTTGCTACATGCAAAAGAATGAAGCTTGACCACTACCTCACACCATACACAAAAATCAACTCAAAATGGATTAAAGAACTAGACATAAGACCTGAAACCATAAAATACATAGAAGGAAATACAGGCGAAACACTACGTGATTTGCATATCAAAGACATCTTTACAGACACATCACCCAAAGCAGTGATAGTGAAGGCAAAGATAAACAGCTGGGACTACATCAAATTAAAGAGCTTCTGCACAGCAAAAGAGACAATAACAAAAACAAAGAGAAACCCCACCAACTGGGAGAACATTTTTGCACCCAACACTAATGATAAAGGACTGATCACAAAAATCTGCAAAGAGCTAATGAGACTCAGCAACAACAAAGAAAATAATCCAGTCAAAAAATGGGCAGAAGAGCTAAAAAGAAACTTCTCTGAAGAGGAAATGCAAATGGCCAACAGGCATATGAAAAAATGTTCAACATCACTTGTAATCAGGGAAATGCAAATCAAAACTACCATGAGATACCATCTTACACCAGTGAGAATGGCACATATTAAAAAAACTAGCAACAACAAATGTTGGCGAGGGTGTGGAGAAAAAGGAACTCTTCTGCACTGTTGGTGGGAGTGTAAACTGGTCCAACCACTATGGAGAGCTGTGTGGAGATTTCTGGACCTACTAAACATAGAGCTTCCATATGATCCAGCAATTCCACTCCTAGGTCTTTACCCAAAGGACACAGAAACATCCATTCCAAAGAACACCTGCACCCCTATGTTTTAGCAGCACTATTTACAATAGCTAAGCTTTGGAAACAGCCCAAATGCCCAAAAATAGATGACTGGATCAAGAAGATGTGGTACATATACACCATGGAATATTACTCAGCATTCAAAAAAGATAAACACATGCCATTTGCAGCAACATGGATGGCGCTGGAAGGGATCATGCTCAGTGAAATAAGCCAAAAAGAAAAAGAAAAATACCGGATGGTCTCACTCATAGCAGGAATCTAGAAAACTTAAATAAGGGACCAGGAAAATTAATAACTATAAGAAAGTGAAAATCAAAATCAACAAAAACTATGAACCAGAGACACTTTTTGGGGGGTGGGGGCCGGGAGGGGAGGGATTGGGGTCAGAATGGGGCATTTGCAATTGTATGGGGGAATATAAAAATAAATTTATTATTTAAAAAAATAAATAAATAATAAATAAATAAATAAATTTTTACATCAAAAAAAAAAAAAAAAGAAACATAGGCTATTACTCAATTGTCCATCAGTGAGAAACTGGTTAAACACATCTGTTAGGGGAAGTACCGTGTTCCCCACTTCCACGAAGCGAGGGGCAGAACTAGGCAGCCAGGTGGGTGTATGTATGTGAGGCAGAGATAGTGGAGAAGAAAGTCTCCTTTGGTTTTTGGAATTGGACTTGCAGCAGAGATTTGGGGGAACTTGGAGGAGACACACAGAGATCTGTAGAAACAGCTGAAAGAGACACGTAGGGGAGGGACCTGTGGTACAGCTGACAATGGCAGCTATTTCCTTGATTTGTACTTGATTTTGCTCCTTTAGTCCCAGGCTTTCCTGGTCCCTCTGTCCCCCTTTCTATGTTTCCCTACCAGAGGGTACCTTAGACTTATGGCAAGCTTTCAGGCCTCAGCAGCCTGCTTTGGGCAGAAACATGTTTGGCTGTGCATTTACCAACAGGGGATGGATAACTTGGGGTGTTTCATTTGGAATAACCTTTCTTTTTCTCTCTCTATGCACACTAATTCTGTTAAAGTTCTTTCACACTAAGAGTCTCCTTTGTGCACACAGAAGGCGAAATCTCTTTTTTTTTTAATATTTCTCTTTTTTTTTAATAGAAGCATGTTTTATTTATTTATTTATTTTATTTGTTTGTTTGTTTGTTTATACAAGCACTGGGTACAGTCAGAAGCACGGGAGGGTGAGAGAATTCACCAGAGCCAGAGCGGGGAGCAGAGCAGGCAGAAGGACCAAAGTACACTGCTGAGGGGAGCAGCGGGCGGCAGGAGAGGTCTGCGGGCCATGCGGGACCTCCTCTGGTGGCCGGGGAGCAGCCGGGATCGAACCGGCGCCGCAGAGGCAGCTTCGTAACCCAGCGCTCAACCACTGCGCCACCGGGGAGGCCCGCCAAATCTCTTTAGAATACACACTAGCATATCCAAAAGAAAGAGTGAAGCTATAAAAAAAAAATGAAAAAGCTCTCCATGAACTGATAAGACAGATTCTTAAGATTGCTACATTTCAAAAAAAGCAAGGTACAAAGAGCACATATACTGTAAGGGGGAAAGGAACAAAGTATATATCTTATTTGTAATTTACATGCATGAAAAATCTCTGGAAATAAGAAATTATTAATACTCATCTTCCTATTTCAGGGCCAGAGGGTACTGGGTATAGTGGTAGAAGGAATATTTTCTCCACAATACTTTTCTCATGATTTTGATTTTTGAAATATACTTGATGTATTCCCACTTAAAAACTTAAACACATTTAAGATATTTAAGATAATCTTGAAAAATGCCTACTATGTATAGAAGGTTTTACACATAACTCAGCTTTTCAGGAGTTTCTAGCTCACTTGATGAGGTAAAAGGCAGCCAGCAATCATAACACCATAGTGTTAAAAAGCCATCTCAGGATATTCTGCATTTCACCAAGTCTAAATTGTGATTCATTTTGAATAATAGCATGACCTGATATGTCACTAGGAAAAGAAAGACAGTGACCAGTTATTATGGCACCAGGCTTCCTTTTCATTTAGAATTTTCATTTTATATACAATGAGAGATCCTTTTTAGATATTTATTTACACATTGATTCTTATCATGTATCAGTGCTAGGTGATATATGATATTATATAAGAGAAATGAAAGTGAAATAAATTAAAGAATTCTGAAAACTTCTTAGTATGGTCTGTCATAGTAAGGGTATTTTTTTTTTTAAGATTTATTTATTTATTTATTTATTTATACAAGCACTGGGTACAGTCAGAAGCGCGGGAGGGTGAGAGAATTCACCAGAGCCAGAGAGGGGAGCAGAGCAGGCAGAAGGACCGAAGTACACTGCTGAGGGGAGCAGCGGGCGGCAGGAGAGGTCTGCGTGCCATGTGGGACCCTCCTCGGGTGGCTAGGGAGCAGCCGGATTGAACCCACAGCCGCAGAGGCCGTGGGCAACTTCGCAACCAGCGCTCAACCGCTGCGCCACCGGGGAGGCCCGTAGTAAGAGTTTTTAATCAGTTTTTAAATTCAGAATCATCAATGTCCATGTTTTACCACACAGTATTGTTCTCTGTTCTATCAAAAACATTGGTGATATAGCAGCTTTTGAAAGAGTATTCCACTAAGGTTTCCAGAATTTCTTCCAAGCTGAAACCTTATCTGTAAATTTTCATGCACAACTGTATCAGTGCAGCTACAAGACCAGTTGTGATTATAATACATACCCAGATCCCAGAGATACTGGAATGTGAAGAAAGAAGAAAAAAAAGCGTTGCCTCTTAAAATTGCTTAAATGTGGGAGATAAGTAGTATCAGGACAGAAGGGATCCCTGAGGTGTCATAGAAGACTCCTAGATGAGGCAGAAGTGAGAGAAGACACTAGAGAATGAGAGGGCCTTTGGAGGCAGAAATGAAGGGCCTCCCTGGTGGTGCAAGGGGTTAAGCACAGCACTATGAAGCTATCTGCAGTTCTATCCCCTGCCGGTCAGGGAGCAACCCACATTGCACAGCAGACTTCTCCTGACATGTGCACTGCTCCCCTCAGCAGTGTTTTCAGTCAGTCTGCCTGTTCTGCTTCCTACTCTGTCTCTGGTGAATCCTCTTACACACCCCCGCCCCGCACCTCTGGCTTGTACCCCAGTTCTTATAGGCATAAATAAATAAATCCTTAAAATTTAAAAAAAAAAAAAAAAAGAGTCACATAAGGAAAACAACCTGGCAAAGGAAAGAGAAACTGTGGACTGGAGGGGAAGGTTTGTTTACGTAGAAATGGAGGTGAGCTGAGGCTGGGCAGTCTGGGCCCTGCTGCTGTGCCCTGAAGGCAGGCTAAAGTTCAGACTTATCCTCTGGGCAAACAGGAAATCAGCATGCAGCTTGAGATGGGACACTAACTTTAGAAGTCATCAAAATTGGAGATTTGGAAGCAATCATTTCTTGGAAATTCTTCTAAAAAATGGGATATATTGTCCTTTGAGGAAGACAAAAAAAAACTGTTTGAAGGTGGCAGTCACACAGATTTTCAAATCTAGCCTTTCAATTCTTCTATAAAGAAACCATTGTTTTCTTACAAATAGAAATGAAAAAAAAATAACATAAATTTCTAAATAGAAATTTATTTATTTTTTTTTAAGATTTTTATTTATTTGTTTATACAAACACTGGATACAGTCAGAGCGCGGGAGGTGAGAGAATTCACCAGAGCCAGAGGGGGAGCAGAGCAGGCAGAAAGACCGAAGTACACTGCTGAGGGAGCAGCGGGCGGCAGGAGAGGTCTGCATGCCATGTGGGACCTCCTCCGGTGGCCGGGAGTAGCCGGGATCAACCGGCGCTGCAGAGGCTGCGGGCAGTTCGCAACCCAGCGCTCAACCGCTGACCGGGAGCCTCTAAATAGAAATTTAAAAGATATTAATCACTAATAGTTCTGCCGGGGATTTCAGATTTCATCTCTGTGGTACTTTATTCTCTGCGTAGGTAATTATCAACTACTGCTTTCTCCCACATCTGGCAATGCTAAACACAGTGCATTTGGGTACCTGAAATGGGTTGCTCTTAGGTGAGTAAGAAATCACAGCTATCAGAAGAAAATTGTCTTGCTGACTTGAGCACTACCAATGCCACTGAAAGCCCCTTAATATTAATCATGGAATGATGGTGTCATTTAGGGAAAAACTCATTAACAACTGAGTAAACTCAGATTAAGTAATATATTTCATCCAATTTATTTATTGGCAAAAAATATATTTGATTGACAGAAAATGTAAAACGTAATATTCAGAGAACTGGGGCACTAAAGGTGACGTGAATGATGACAGCGACTTTTGCTGGCAGTTTAGAAACACACATGCCCAAGGAGGCACATTTAAGGAGATCTGAAACGGCTTTGTTCATAATGGTAGAAAATAATCAACAAGGTCTATGTCCATAAATTGGGGACGTGATGGACATGTAAAAGTATAATAGATCTACAAAACATTCTGTTGAATTTTAAAAAGCAAGTTGTAGATACATTTAATATAATGCCATTTATGAAAACATACATTAAACTGTAGAGTTTCTGTGGCTGTGTATGTGTGCATGTCAGTGGAAGGACATGCTCTATAACTAAGAACAATAAGGATGTGGGGCCTCCCTGGTGGTACAGAGGTTAAGTCTGAGTGCTATCATCATGTTGGCCTGAGGTCAATCCCCGGCCAGGGAGCTAATCCACATGGTGCAGCAGAACTCTTCTGTCTTGCCTGCTGCTCCCCTCAGCAGTGTATTTCAGTAGTTCCACCTGTTCTGCTCCCCACTCTGTCTCTGGTGAATCCTCTCACCACCCTGCACCTCTGGCCTACACCCCAGTTCTTGTATGCATAAATAAATAAAAATAAATCTTTTTTTTAAAAGGAATGTTTATGTACAGCTTATGAAATTTAAATTTATTTTTAAAGAAAATAATAGTTTATTAAATGCTGTCCAAATCTCTGGTTCACTCAGGAAATTACAAATGTGGTGGCTTTCTGTAGGTATGGATTTGGATTCAAATGAGCATTAGAAATATTTTTCTATATTGTGCATGTTCACAGCACTATATATGTCAGTGGTTGAAGTGATAAAGAATTTAAAAATAATTTATATTAAAAATAAATATGACATAGAAATAAATGCAAAACAAATATAAGGTTCATCTTACCCTTGCCACGTCTATGAATCTGTAGGATATATATTATTTCAAATAAAGTTTCAGTACTAATGTCTAGAGGAACAAGCTGCCTTATGGTTTAAAACTAGTGCTTTTGCCTAGTTTCCAAGACCCTAATAACACAGATGCTAAGTGTAGCCTTAGGCATCTTTCATCAATGTCAAGCATTCAGAATGGAAAAGATCATGGCTCATTGCCAGATATATTTGCCAAGTCCCAATTTGCAGCACAATTCAGCTCATTTGCACTTCTATCTTGATCCTGAATATTGCTCTATTAAGAAATAATAGAACAATGACATTATTTCTTGGTTGCTAAGATCTATAACATTGGTTATGACCATCCTTAGGGGTAAAAACATCAAGAAATATACTTAATCAAGAAGATGTGGTATATATATACACAATGGAATATTATTCAGCAATCAAGAAAGATAAACTCATGCCATTCGCAGCAACGTGGATGGAGCTAGAAGGAATTATGCTCAGTGAAATCAGCCAGAAGGAAAAAGAAAAATATCGGATGGTTTCACTTATAGCAGGAATATAGGGGAACCAAATAAGACATTAAGGGAAAAAAATAACAATAATACAAAAGATAACAAAACAAAAACAAACAGACAATTATAAATCAGAGACATCCTGCAGGGAGGAGGAGGGAGAGGGATCAGAGGGAGGGAGGGAGGAGCACAGGGGACTGAGGTGATGGTACACGGGTGCACTCGGGAAGGAAACTCTATGGGGACTGCACCTGAGGGGGTGGGGGGAAGCAAATATTGTTTAATAATGAACAATGATGTAAAAAATAAAAAAATTAATATTTAAAAAACAACAACAAAAAAGAAATATACTTAAATATCCAGTTCCTATTGAACTGAATAACTTCCTCTCAGGAGGTTGATTCTGAAAGGTAGGATCTCCTCCCTGGGCTAACCAGGAATGCGAGTATATTATTCTATCTCAATAACTCGATCAAACAAACATGGCCATAGGGAAAAAGGTCAGTCCTAATTTCACTAATGAAGATGTTCTAGTGCTTGTTTCCCTGAAGGCTTGAATTAATCACCCAATAGATCACCTAGCAATAAAAAGTAGAATAGATCCCTACTTTGTCTGAGATTTACAGTCAAATACCGAAAACATATTGTGTTCAGGAAACCCTGATGTTCATATAAAGGATTTGGGGAACTCAAGAAAGTAGTTGCTATGATCCATCACCAACATGTTGCTAATGGATGAGATGAGATGACAGAGGACATCTGTTGTTTTCGTCTGCCTGGGCTTAATTCCTTTCTGCTGGTGGAAGCAACCTGGTTTCCTTAGTTGAGCTGGCCCTCTCCCCCATTCACCCCCTCAGCTCACAAGGCTCAGGTAGAACTATTTTCACAACTCTTGGCACACAACCCAGATCTGGCCAGCAGAGAGCTCCGTGCCACTACTGCTCAGGCTGACTGACTCATAGATGGCCACTTGACCCAGGCAAGGCTGATGAGAATTTGGGAAGTTTTGCTAGTGCTGCTGGGAAAGGATGCATGCAGAGATGAGAGAATAAATTCTGGAGCATCAAGAAGCCCTGTCTACAGAGAGTGCCTTTCTAAAAACAAAGTCTACACTGAGAACAGGCTGAGGGATGGTGACAGTGTCCTGACGGCATCTTTGAGATCTGAAGCCTTCAGCTTCGATGTCATATGGGTCATACTGGTTTAGTTTGTAATTTGAGTGGGGTTTTGGTCACTGGTAACCAAAATAATTTTGACTATTATCACCAGTAATAGTGTCTTGGCAAGCAAGCCAATTCAGAGTTGTCCTTCCACTTTGCTTATCTGAGTGCTAATTTTTTTTTCAAAGTCCAGGTAAAATATTGTCTTATCCTTTGAGTCTGTTGAAACCCACCTGAGCTTAGTGAATCCTTCCTCATTTCAATTCCTGAAGCACTTATTATTAAGTGTCAATTATTATTCCTGCTGGTTTGTTTATGATATATTCACACACTTTGTCTTTCCATATGGATTATAACGAACCTTAAGGGTAGGAACCACAGGAAATGCACCTCTTTATGTGCTTTGCATAGGTTAGGATCCCAATAGATGTTTGTTGATGATACATATAAAGGGCGTCATCTGTGACCCAGTTTTGTTGCTCCATCTCAACTACCCCAGATGCATGCCCAATGTATACATGTATCTCTAACCAAACATGTATATCCATCCACACACACCCCCAGCCAACACTTGCAGATACTACAAGCACATACAGGCAAACACAGTATGCAGATGTTACTAAACACAATACACTTGGCTCCATAAGCTCCTTCTTGTGTGCTGCCCTAAAGACCCCTTTGGGAGAGGACAAGGCTAACAGTTGAGCTCCTTAACATTCAGAAATGGCTGGAAGGCCGTGAAAGAACTCTTTGTTCCTCCACTCCCACCCCAACTGAAATGAAAAGCAGTGATGAGGGAAAAGACATGTTGAGGAGAAAGACAAGTCTGAAATGAGTAATACCTACCCACAATGCAGGCATGTGCTGCTAACCAGCTCCGGAGTGAAAACAGTGAAGTGAAATTTTGCTGCATCATAAGTACATGCTAGTGCGAACCCAGGCACAGGCTCTGAAATAAATTATATAGGACTTGTAAGGAGCAGGATCTGGGCGGGTGAGAATTTTAATAGCAATGCAAAAGATGACTCAGTCTCTCTCTGGCTCTGCCCTCAGGCATTTCCAACTCTCTGACCCTGGTTTCGCCATGAATCTCATGTCGGGGAGCATGGAAAAGGCCTCCCAGAAGCAGGCATAATTTCCTGCCCTTTCTTCCAGCTTCTCTGGGTGAGTGGGGTGAAAAGTTACATAAGGCAATGAGTTTTTTAAAAATTTTTAAAGAAAACAGTCAACAAGTGGGAACACTCAGGGAGGAGAAGGCGCTGACGGGTGGCCTTTCAGCAGCTACTGCCATCAGCCGGTATTGGAGGGAGTGTTCTTTGTAACATTTCACAAACAGCAGTAAAACAGTCCACTGTGCTGAAGACGCAGTGTGCCAGACAACACACTAAGCACTTTACACGTGCCCCGGAGTGTGGACTTAGTTGTGTTAAACTTCTGATGTTACAGGTGGAGAAGGGGAAGCTTACGGAGCATAAATTAGCTGTTCTAAATCAGTTGGGAAACTCAGGATCCTCCACCCCATGCTTTTACCGCTCCATAATATTTACTCTGGAAATAAATGGTACCCAGGGAAACAGCTTTTCTATTTTCCTGGCAGGAAACCTTAGGGAAGATGCACCGTAAAATTACAAAAACCGAAATTCCTTCTCATTTCTAAGGACCTCAAGTGCCAATCATGTCAATTTACGGACCAGCCTAAATTCCTAGCTCCCTGGCAGATCCAACCTCGCTCCCTGGTTCTCTTTGCAGGGAACTTGCTCTGAGTACCCTGCTGTTTCCACCCAGAACTTCAGTATTAAAATAGATGAGGGTGTGGGGCAGGCCATCCGGCATAAAGAACTGAGCTCTGAGAAGCACAATATTTGGAAGGAAAATCAACCAAAAGAATGTCACATTCATTCAAGTGACAGGTGAGTGCAAGACCAGGGCCCAAAAGGCTGAAAATGGGCCCTTTGCATGAGAACGGCACCTAAAGGCAATCGCTCATTCTTTCCACCTAGGCAAACAGATGCTTGATCCCACGGTTTGGGTTTTGATTTTTGTTATTAAAAATAACAAAGAAACTAGCCCTACTTCCAGTTGTGGGAAGAAAATGAGGGCCTTTCCTTCAGCTTAACTGCGCTTAAAGACCTTCTGATAGAGTCAGCTCTCAGCCAATTTGAGAAAGCTGTAGGAGCAAGAAGTCTCCGCTGTCAGCATCTTCAGCAAGGCAGATCATGCCGTGGGGGTTATCGTCCTCACTACACCCTCTCTGCCCAAATTCAAGCAGCTAGTCCGACTGACGCCACAAATACACGGGCCTTGGCTGCTCACCTTGCAGGGGCTCATCAAGGAACACCAGTGCCTCTGAGCATGCACAGCAAGCCAGGTCCTGGGTGACGCTGCACAGTTCTCCCTGGGAACCTTGCTACAAGCAGACGGCACCTGCAAGCATCTGAGCTCAGTGGCCCAATCGCAGTAGCTCGCTGTCATGTTATTCTCAGCACCAAGCCTGAGAACTCCAAACCAATGGACAAACCCATTCTATTCGCAAGTCTTTTGTTACCTAACTCCTGGTCTCCTGATCTTAACCAAAGTGGCTGGAGAGTTCAGAAAAGGTAAAGAGAAGAACAGCTGTTCCTGACTCATCATTTGCTTCATCTTATTTCTGCAGAAATGAGAAAGTGAGCAACGGGATGAGGTGCTCTAAGGGATACAGGAGATTTTTCTACCCGTCCATGTCACTGCTTGCCTACCAAGGAGGTAATTCCACATGCGAATCTTCAAGGAAATCTTTGGCCTCAACTTGTTCTTGGAGCTTGACTGGGCACCCTCTTTTTTTTTCCCTCTCTCGCAAAAGAAAGTGGTGGCACAAACCTGCCCTCTAGTGGCAACAAGAAGAATTTAAAACAAGGGGGAAAAAAGAGTGAGCCCCCAGAGAAACCGGGTAATTGAGACTATTGCATTTCCCAAAACGATCGGCAGACTGAGGTTTTGCCAGTTCTGTTCAGACTGAATATGCGCGCCACGTTGATAAATGCAATGGTTTGTGAGAGGATAAAGTAGCATCAAGAAACGGGGAAATCGGAGTTTGGAGTCAGCCGTGCATGGCACTGAATGTCAAGCACCTTTAGTCCACTCGATCTGCAACTTTCTTTTCTTTCTTTTTTTTTTAAAGCGTATTTCTTCCTCTCTTTTTGGTTTGTTTTTGTTTTTAAATTCCCTCCGCCAAACTGCCCATGCCCATATCACACCTGCTCTAACCAGTAGTTGAGTACCCACATCATGAGGTGAAAATCAAGGACATTTTGGAACAAACACACCCTCTGTGCTAAGGCTACACTTCGTGGACTTTGCCAGAAAGCACAGTCAGGACCTAGTCTGAGCAGCCAGATTGCCTGAGTTGAAATTCAGCCAGAATTATGAGACATGACCTAAGGCATGTTTTTTGACTCTGTGCCTCAGTTTCCTCACCTGGATAATATATCTGCCTCATAGAGTCATATTGAAGTATAAGTGAATCATTGTTTACAAAGTGACTGAAAAGTAACACAATAAATATTTGTTAAAAATACCTCATATTCCACAGTCAAATAAGATATATGTATTAGCACCTGTCACATGCACAGTACAAGATTAGAAGCTCCAAAATTACTGGTATATATTATTAAAAAATAAACAATAGTCTTTCTCTCATGTATCTGCAAACCCCATTGTAAAAAATTAAAATAGTTTTCTAAACTTCGAGAGACTCTAAAACACTAAGAAAGTTTATCTTTTTGAACTCAAGTTCCTAATGGCTTTTCTTAAAAAAAAAAAAAATCTTATGATCCATCCTGTGAAATTTTTATTCCCCAATTTTGGCTTATTATGAAGACAAGGATATCCATTCAGTATGTATTCATCCTCCAGTTCACTCACTCTCACATGCCACCACTCTTACACATGATAACCTCTGACATTTCTTTCTTGCTATAGTGTAAAAGGAAACTTGACATTTCAATTTAAAAGATAAAATTAGGCCCTTTACCATGAAATTATCAAATTCTTCAAGAGAACATTACTATATTTAAAGACTGTGCTTTAGGGCCTTGCTGGTGGCGCAAGAAGTTAATCATGGCACTATGAAGCAATACACAGCCTCTGCAGCACAAGTTTGATCCCTGGCCAGCCAGGGAGAAATCCACATGGCACAGCAGACCTCTCCTGTCTCGCCCGCTGCTCCCTTCAGCAGTGTATTTCAGTCAGTCTGCCTGTTCTGTTCCCTACTCTGTCTCTGGTGAATCTTCTCACCCCCGTATCTCTGGCCTGTATCCCAGCACTTGTATGCATGAATAAATAAATCTTTTAAAAAAAATAAAAAATAAAAAAAAAGATTGTGCTTTAAAATTACAAAAAGAAGGAGCACCATTTTGAAAGCACTAAGAGTACGTTGAACTTAAAGTAATATATTTTGAGCACTTACAGTAATGTTACTCAAAGACAAAATCTATTTTCACAAAAAATTCCAGGCTCTCTAAGATGATCAGAGGTGCAATGAGCAGTGTCCTATGTGAGTAAAGGCTGTTGACTGCACCAAACACAAAGAAACAGACAATAATTGCCTTCAGACTAACGCTTAGTGCACTGGTACAGTCAGAAGCATGTTGAGAGAATTCACCAGCCAGAGCAGCAGACAGGCAGAAGGACCGAAGTACACTGCTGAAGCACAGACATGTGACCCTAGCATCGAACTGCAGAGCAGTCAGCTCCCAGCTCTGCGCACTAGGCCCAACGCTTAGTTTTTAAATACACATAGGAACAGACAATAATTGCCTTCAGACTAATGCTCAGTTTTTAAATTACACATAAGACTGCCATTGCTTTATTAACATTTTTCCAGAGAAAAATTAAATTTTAATAAGCATATTAAAGCTAAAAATCTAATTAGACTCTCAGGGAAGATAAATTCAAATTTATAATAAAGGCAACTTGTATTCAATTAATGAATCTAGATAAGAAAATACAGGTGTTCATATACATTTTTTGAGGTTCAGTAAGTTAGTAATCATTCAAAATTATAATGGAGACTGGTCATTAAAACCAGAACATGATAAACAATCCTACCTTCACCGTTCTATCCAACACCATTCTTGTGGTCCTAACCACCTAACCATTATAAGAAAAGGTAAAAAAGATTAGAAAGGAATAAACAAACTGCTATCATTAACAGATAATATTTTTGGTTACAGAGAAAACCCAAAAGAATTTATAGAGAAATTTTAAGAAGAATAATAGAGCAATATGGCTGGATATGAGATCAATTTCATTTTCTGTACACCAGTTAACAGTTTCAAAATGTAAATTAATTAATTACATTTAAATTTAATTTAAATTTGTAATTTAAATACACACAAAATTTTAAATAGGAACAAAATATTTATGAATAAATGCAATAAGAGATAAACAAGATCTTGGCAGAAAAAAATTTGAAACTTATAGAAAGAAATTAAAGAAAGCTAAAGAAAATCTGTAATAAAAAAAATACACCTTCTGGAGTAAAAAGATTACCATCTTAAAAATGTCATCTCTTTCCAAAGGTACCTACAAAGTAAGTTTAATTAAAAGCATAGAGCTTTTTTAAAGAAATCGACAAGAATACTCTAAAATTTATATGAGCTGTAAAGGTCCATGACTAGCCAAGACACCACTGAATAAGTAGAGGATGCGAGGAAGAATCACTAGTTCACTCAACATGAGTCATTAAAAAGTTATAGTAATCAGGCCTCCCTGGTGGTGCAAGGGGTTAAGATGCAACCTATGAAGCAATCCACAGCCTCTGCAGCACAAGGTTGATCCCCGGCTAGCCAGAGAGCAACCCACATCACCCGCTGCTCCCCTCAGCAGTGTACTTCGATCAATCTGCGTGTTCTGTTCCTCACTCTGTCTCTGGTGAATCCTCTCACCACTCCCCCCACCCCCCAACCCCCGGCCCTACTCTCTGGACCTCTGGCCTGTACACCAGCTCTTGTACACATAAATAAATCTTTAAAAAAAAAGTTATAATAATCGAGACAGCCAACCACTGAAAGACTAAGAGAACAGAATATACAGTGGGGGTGTTATTAATTTATGCAGAGTAGAAAGAAGAAATTTGATGCCTGTGTTCTCCAGACAGGGCTGCAATTATTTCCCACTCCACAAGT